TTCTGTCCAGCTTCCGCTACGTTTGCCTTTGATACCATTGAAGAATTCCCGACTTTCTTTTTAAATGTACGGTTATCTTCTTCAATTCTCAGCCTGACAATCAGGTCTTCAAGCCCCATTTCCTTGCGCTTATGCTTCAAGTAATTTTTGAAATCTTTCCAAGTAAGTGGCAGCTTCTCAATAATTGAAGCTACTTGAAAAGATTCACTCAATGTCATCTTCTCAGCGTGTATCTCATGTAGGATCAGCTGGAGCTCCTGCACTTGGTTCATAACTGTCTTGGAGTCTATCATTTTGAAGTCCAGAAATCGTCCGACCACGAACTTCTTCAAGCCAGCATCCTCTGTTTATACTTCTTCTCTAATGACTCCCAGAGCTCTTTAGTAGTATTCATTGGACTATACACATTATACAAAGTGTTGTCCAATCCATTGAGGATGTAGTTTTTGCATAGGAAGTCTCCATGCTTCCATGTATCAACAACTCCTAGCTTGGTAATGTCAGTCTCACTCTCATCTAGCACTGGGGCAGTCTCAGTTAGATACTTGCTTAGATTCAGAGTTGTAAGGTAGAACATCATTTTCTGTTGCCACCTTTTAAACTCCATCCCATTGAATTTTTCGGGTTTCTCCCCATGACTGACGGGAATATTAGGTATAATAGTACTCGTACTTGCCATTTGTCTAATATATATTAAATATACAGACCACAGTCAAATTTACAACAATATTTAAATAATTAAACTATAGTATAAGCGGAATCTGTCTTAAGATTGTAGTCCAAAATATGGTCTAAATATACCATATACTATAGTACTATTTATTTAAATATTATGTAAAAATATAATATATATATATATATATATATATATATATATATATATATAATTACTTATAATATATAGTTTAATAAAATAAAATAAAAATTATAAATAAAGGAACCTAATTAAAAGTCGAGGTTAGAATTTGATTATATGTCCTTAAGACAGATTCGCCCCGCTATGGTGTTAACGGACTTAGTAGCGTCTATCTCGCACGATACAACGACTTGTCTTCCTTCGGTAGTAGCACTACAAACCAAAGGAATAGGCGAACCGACTCGGTATAATACTCTCTAACTCGAACTCGGACTCGGAGTGATTGACTAAGGCTCGAACCCAAATACTAAGGCTCGAATCCACAAAGTAAAGAGAGAAGGATAAAGAAGAAAATTCAGAAGAAGAGAAGAATTCTCTGAATTTTGGTGTGATTTGCAAATGATCCAAAATGGGGTATTTATAGGTAGCAAGGTGCCTTTTCGGGTGTGTGTAACCATGGGTTATGATGGTTCGGAAAAAGGTGTAACCCTTTGAAAAAACTAAAAGTGGTTTTTTTAATTAAAAGGTGTAACCCTTTAGAAAAACTAAAATATGTTTTTTTTTTTTTTTAATTTAAAAGGTGTAACCTTTTAGAAAAACTAAAAAGTAGTTTTTTAATTCAAAAAATCAACCATCCAAAAAACCCACCAATTTGTGAAACCCATTTAAATAAGCCCAGCCCAAAAATAGGCCCAATCCAAAATTTCATTTAATAAAAAGAATAATCCGGACTTCATAATTAGGCCCAAGCCCAAGCCCAAGCTTGACTTATTTAAACTTCAATTGGTTTCAACATTTTTTCCATTTAGGCTTTTCAAACACCTCACTTTGGATCTAATTTCTCATTCACCCGGAAACGGATTTGAGAAAGTAAATATACCACGTTCATCTCCTTGCGAAGAGGAACGCGCTGGTCTATAGATCCGCAAAAAATTCTTAGCGAAATCTATTCCAAATCTCATCCAAAGTTTATATTTTTAATGTCTTCGTTTCCAATAAAAGGAACTGAAAATTGGACATGAGGTTGGTCTTTCATAATTTAATTGTTCTTGTTTTTAACTAAGTATCACCTTCTTAGTCATGAGTGTCCACTTCTTGTTCTTCTTTTTCCTTTACATCCACTTCTTCGAGTTCTTTCTCTAAAAATAGGAGCTCGAGAGAGAAAGAAAGGGAGAGGGATGGAGAGGAGAGGGAATTAGAATTTGATTCGAATTCATTTAGTTTTAACCCAGATAGCTATCAAGTTATTTATTTTTTATTTTTTTAAAATGTAAGAACATTTGTCAGTTTAACATTCCGTCACATACGTAGTGAGTATAAATTTCTTACTTACCGGTAAGTAGACAAATATTGTCCTTAAATGTGTACTACACAATTGGCTATTTTGCTTCATTTGAATATGGTTTTAATTGGGAGGAAAAACCCAACCCGGAGAACAACGTGATGATGGTAGAGCTGCAAGTTGGGTTGGCCCAACCCAGCCAATCCCAATCCAACCTCAACCCGAATCAGTTGGGTTGGGCCAGCCCGAATTATACCCAATATGGGTTATGTTTATAATTCGGACCGAATATTTTCTGGCGGGACGGGTTAGGTTGACAGGTTTATTATTATTTTAAAAAAAAAATTCAGAAATTTATATATATTATATATATTTGATTATATTATTATTAAAAACAAAATATTTTTAGGGCGAATCATTTCAGCCTCCCCAATCGCCTCCATCTCTATCCTTGTTCTCGACTCTGAACTTGCCCTCTCTCTCTCTCTCTAACTGCAAACTACAAAATCTATAAGAATCAGAAGTTCAAAAACCATACATTTCAATTTATCTATGTGTCTGCAAGAATCAAAAGTTCAAAACCTGTTACCTATATCAAAACCCATATCGGCATATCATTTCAACTCTCAAGCTTGCCTCCCCTTCCTCTGTAATTGCTAACTTGTATGAATGGTTTTTGTTTTAATTTTTGGAAGTGACGGCGGCGGCGGCGGATCAACGTCTGATGGACGACGGCAACAGCGAAGGGGACAGCGGGAGAGAGAGATAGGAGAGAGAAAGGAGAAAAAAAAAATTAAAAATTAAAAAATTTCTTTTTTTTTTTTTTTTTTTTGGGTTTTGGGTTGGGTTCGAGTTGAACCCAAGCCTAACCCGAACATGTCTGGGTTTTGACAAAACCCAACCTAAATATGAGCCCGATTTGTGAATTTTAAGTCCAAATTTTAAATTTTTTGGGTTGGAATTGGGTTGGGTTAGGTTAGCCCGCCCAAGTTGTAGCCCTAGCTGATAGTGTGAAATAATGTATTAGAATTAAAATTGAAGACCATTTAGTGGAAGTTTTAAATTAATTTTCCTCCAAATTTTAAGCCCTACGCTTTGATGAAATCCCACTCAACAAAACATAATTAACTTTTTAGACCATTTAACAACTGATGTATTTAATGAAAACAAATATAATTTCTATTACATTTATTTTTTAAAAATGTAAGTTTTAAGGGTTCTATAGTCTATTGGTATATTCTTTACGTCCTTAAATGAAAGGTAAAGAGTTGAAATCTAAGTTATACATTTCTTTTCAACAATAATAATAAATAATAATAAAAAAATCTTTACATCCTTAAATGAAATATAAAGAGTTCAAATCTAAATCACACAATTCTTTTTAACAATGATAAAAAAATAAAATAAATAAAATAATAATAATAATAATAATAATTTATTTTCAACAGAGGCCGCTCTCACACTCCACACGCACTCTCACTTATGTTTCCACTATTTGTGACTTAATTTTGTCACTTTCGTATTCTCGCTCCGGCTCTCGTTTTATGTGACTTAAGTTCAAATTCCATTAAAAATTAAAAAAAACGGGTGTGTGAGTTTCTCACATTCTTGCCAAGATAAAAAAAAATAAAAATAAAAAATAAATAAAAATAAAAAATGAAAAATAAAAGATAATACGCAGGAGATATAATTCAAATTGTTATTTAAGAACTTGAATTACAAGAATGGTATATGTTGAAGTAGAATAGAAATAAATTGGTCTTAAAAGAAGGTTTTTAGAATTTTGAATCAAACCGAACCGATGAAACTCTAAAATCAAATAGTACGAGAAAGGTTTTAAATTGATTTAGGACCCAAGATGAGTTTGCTTACTAAGAGAAACCGATGGGCTTAAGCCTTGTTCTGGCCCACAGAAACTGGACTTAAAGGCCCAAGATGGGTTTGCTATCTATCTCAGTATCTCTAGATGCACACACAGCTCCAGATTGATTTTATCTCGGTGATTAAACCTTTCAAGAAGGAAATCAGGAAATGCAAAGAGGTATCTCTCTCTCTCTCTACATAATGTTGGGAGTGATTGCATGGACATGAAAGACAAAAATGGTTTAAAAGAATATCTAATCACTCTGTTAACTTAAACTACTTTTCAGTCTCTCTCTCTCAATTTAAAGGCATTGAATTGCTTTCCTGGAAAGGATTTTACAGGTATTGAAGGCTCGTCCAACACATCTAAAGCATTTCCATATTTTATTTTTAGTTGCATACACGATTCACAATTTTAATCACTATCATTGCAATTTGTTCATAGATCGATGTTGAAAATTTCCCTAGATCTTTATTAATTTCTTGCATTCACCATCATTAAATGATAACACAACATATTGTGATTTATTCCAAATTTTTTAATAGAAGGATAGGACATGTTTGGATTTTGTTCGTCTGCTTAATCAAATTTCTCCATTATCTTCAAAAGTTTAGGCACCAATATAGGCCACAACCACAACTGATGATACAGGACAGAGATTAGTTTGTTTCTTATAATATCATTATAATATGAGGGTTTTTTTTATTATTTTATTTTATTTTTCTTAATTCCTTTTAAGTTTTAACTATTATGCCAACTACTATATAATGTTCAAGTACGTATAAACTACCAAAAGTTTGCCTCACAAATGCTACGACTCTGTGTGAGATAGGCCACTCTTTTGATTTGCTCAATATCATGACTTGCTTTTCTTTTTTTGGGTAATAGTATACATGTAATCATTTCATCAAACCGTTAATTGGCAGATTTTTGATGAACAAGACCAAAGTGATTGAGGTTTGATTTCTAGAAAGCAAGTCCATTGACTGACACTATCAATGGAACCACTGAAACAAAGCAGAGAGGAAATGGCTTCTTCATTTTCTCCGACCACATTATCATCCAAACAAGAGAAACAAGGACTGGGTTGGATGGAATGGCTCGGAGGGTGGTCTCATTTAATCTACGAAGTACTCTTTCAGAAAATCACATCAATCCATCTTCAAACTCCATTGCCATTGCCTCCACTCAACGTCGTCACCTTCATTGTTACCGGATCCACCAGTGGAATTGGGCTCGAAATAGCCAAGCAATTGGCAGAGTCAGGAGCACATGTTGTTATGGCAGTGAGAAACCCTAGTGCAGCCCATAATTTAATCCAGAAGTGGGAGACCAATAGGTCCAATACGAGCCTCCTCAATGTCGTTGTAATGGAGCTTAATCTTCTATCTTTAGAATCTGTTGTGAAGTTTGCAGAAGCATGGAATTCACTTTCAAAACCCTTACATGTTCTAATCAACAACCCGGGAATCTATTCCATTGGGGAGGCTCAGAGGTTTTCAAATGATGGATATGAAACGCATGTGCAAGTGAACCATTTTGGTCCATCATTGCTTTCAATATTGCTTTTGCCATCACTCAAAAGAGGCGCTCCAAGCCGGATCATCAATGTGAACTCTGTCATGCATTTCATCGGCTTTGTTGACACGAATGACATGAACTTTGTTTCGGGGAGAAGGAAATTCACAAGCTTAGAAGGGTACTCGAGTAGTAAGCTAGCACAACTCATGTTTAGCAGTGCCCTGCAGAAGCACTTGCCTAGTGAAGCCGGTATTAGTGTAGTATGCGTAGAGCCTGGAAGTGTACACACAAATGTTGCTAGGGACTTGCCTAAGATTGTGCAAATTGCTTATCATCTGATACCATTTTTCCTATTTAATGCTCTGGAGGGTTCAAGAAGTGCGGTTTTCGCAGCTACTGATGTTGAGATTCCTAAGTACTGTGCCAAATTGAAGGCTGAGGAGTGGCCTGTCTGTGCTTTTATCTCCTATAACTGTCGTCCGATGAGTCCTTCAAAAGAAGCACATAATGTGAGCACATCTCAGATGGTTTGGGAGAAGACACTTGATATGGTTGGCCTTCCTTCTGATGCTGTGGAGAAGCTTTTACAAGGAAAAGAGATTCAATGCCAGAATGGGACTTCCCTTAATTAGTTGCTAATATGGCATTACTCAGTAGCCTAGTTGGTAGAATGTTCAATTTTCTAAGTAGGTGTACTCGTATTCGATTTCCCCTCTCCTTACCCCTAGTTTGTATGGGGAAAAATTAAATAAATAAATAAAAATAATTAGCTGCCATTATGTGAGTGAAAGAATTTATGTTATTGGCTGTTCATCTGAGTCTTCACCCACTATATTACTTTACTTTTTGATTGATTAGTATCACTGCATCTGTTATAACACATTAACTCCAGATATTTGAATGAATCAATGAAATAAAATCATGTTTTTAAAGTTACTTCTGCTATATACATATATATATATATATATATATATATATATATAGACTAATTAATTCTAGGTACTTGAATGAATCAATGAAATAAAATCATGTTTTTAAAAATATTAGTGACGTCCCATATGGACAGAAGTTGTTGACAATGCTACGTAATTAAATTGGCTTATTTACTTCTTGCTAAGTTGTTCTTAGTACTCTGGGGATCTACTTTAATGGGAAAATTGAAAATGTCAAAGTGCTGTAAAATTGAAATGAATTCAATTACTATAATATAGTGATTTGGCCACCCGAATCATATATATATATATATATATATATATATATATATATAAGAGTAGCACCATCGGACTTTTTATCTTTTCCTTTTATATAATATATACAATGATAAAACTGCATTGATGATGAGCACATGAAAAGTCCTAATTAGGTGAAAGAAGAAAAAAGTGAGCCACTTTAGGGCTTGGGACTTAACCATGACACCATCTCAGGGAAATTATTCTATAATTTTTACTACTGTGCTTATATAGTAGAATAGCCAATTTTAAAATTCTCTTGCTCTCTCTATTTTGGGGCGGCTCTAGGATGCATAACCTAATGGAGTTCAAAGAATTTTCTAAGATATATAAAAAGGTTTATAAAATAAATGAAAATTGTATTTCAAATATTTTGAATTCTAGATCCGAATAAGTTTTTTATTTACTCCCTCAATTCTATAAAAATAGTCCATGATGGGGGAGTAAAACTTTTTAAGAGGCCTTTTTAAAAATGACTAAATCATTCTTTTTAAGTATGAATTGGTATTTTATTAATTAAAATTTTTGAAAACTTAAAAGGTTTATATAAAAAGATATATTTATATTATTTTGACTTTTTAAATGTTACAACTATTTTGAAACTGCTAAAAAAATATATAAAATAGAAATAGACCATTAAATTGTGATTTTATTATGCACAAAGGAGGCGGGTGTAGGACGAGGTATCCCAATAAAACCTATTTGTGAAACAAATCCATTATTAAAAAGGAATGAATCTAATTATTAAAAAAAGTTGAACATATTATTTTTAAAAAGGAAAAAAAAATACTCCAAGTATTTACCTGTATTTAATATGTGGATAACTTTCTTAACTTAATTGTTAGATGAATAAAATATGAAAAATATAGTTACAGTGAATTACTAGATTTAATCTTTTAATTGATCAATTATGTAACAAATAAGAAAATGGAACTCTCCACTTAGTTGTATTTGGTATAAATAGTCAATTAAAAATAATTTTGTTAAACAATTCACTGCAAGTGTTGATGTGAATATCACTTACTCATAAAATATATTGAAAAAGGCCGAAAAATAATAATAATAAAATAATTATGATAACACTCACTATATATTTTTATAGTGGATGGGAGAAAATCTTTTGCATTGCTTTTTCTTTCATAAAAAAATAATTTTTATATCTTGTAATTTTTAATTAATTATTTGTATCATAAATAAAAATGTAAATGTAGAATTATCCACTTTCTTATATTTTTTATAAATAATTAATTAAAAATATTTCATTAAGCAATTCACTGCGATGATGAAAATATCACGACTCTCCTTTTAACTCTTTAATGCATGATGATCCGATGATTTGCAACGCGTTGCTTAAATATGATAATGTTAACTCAATTGGTGTGGTGTGTATAAATTGTATGTAATAATTTCTCATATAGTTAACCTACAGGTGTGGTTTCCGATGCCCTACACGTTTCAAACATCCATCCGTTCATTTTTCTATTAAGACCATAATTGGGGATATTTATTACTCTATGTGCTTGCCGCTGCTTTCTGCTTTTGCAATTCTCCCAAAACCATGTTCTCCAATCACTACACAACATCACACAACTCCCACTCCCCAATCCTCATCCTCTCTTTTTATCTCTCTCCCACCACCACCAACCACCACCAGGCACCACCCAACTCTCCGGCCGGTCTCAATTTCCTCATAAGTCATAACCATCATCATTAATGATAAACCCCTTTTTAACAAACCCAATTCAAAACATGAACAACCCATCTTTTCTCTAACCATTTTCCACTTTCTATCCACAGCCCCACCCACTCTTTCTCAAATTCTTCAATCCCAAAAAAAAAATGGATATCCAAACAGTAGATGAAAAACACCAACACATAGACGGAACCACCATCCGAAACATGGTGTTTGGGAAGTACGAAATGGGTAGACTATTAGGGCAAGGCACCTTCGCCAAGGTCTACTACGCCAAGAACATCATCACCGGCGAGAGCGTCGCAATCAAAGTCATCAACAAAGACATGGTGATGAAAGAAGGCATGATGGACCAAATCAAGCGCGAGATCGCCGTCATGCGCTTGGTCCGACACCCCAACATCGTCGAAATGAAGGAGGTCATGGCCACCAAGCACAAGATCTTTTTCGTCATGGAGTACATCAAAGGCGGCGAACTCTTCGCCAAAGTCCTCAAAGGCAAACTCAGAGAAGACTCTGCTCGGAAATACTTCCAGCAACTCATCAGCGCCGTCGATTTCTGCCACAGCCGCGGCGTCTACCACCGCGACCTCAAGCCGGAGAACTTACTCCTCGACGACAACGAGAACCTCAAGGTCTCCGATTTCGGCCTCTCCGCCTTGCCGGAGCAGTGTAGGCATGATGGGTTGCTTCACACCCAGTGTGGGACTCCGGCGTATGTTGCGCCGGAGGTTCTGAGGAAGAAAGGGTACGACGGTGCCAAGGCGGATTTATGGTCTTGTGGGGTGGTTCTGTATGTTCTGCTCGCAGGGTTTCTTCCATTTCAGGAGGAGAATGTGATGAAGATGTATCGGAAGGTGTTCAAAGCTGAATTCGTATTTCCACCATGGTTTTCGAGTGATGCGAAGAGGTTGATTTCGAAGCTCTTGGTGGCTGATCCTGAGAAGAGGATTTCAATTTCGGGAATTACACGAGTCCCTTGGTTTCAAAAGGGTTTCACGAGACCCATCGCTTTTCCGATTCATGAACCAGTTTCAGACAACTTCAGTGTGATTGGAGAACACAACAGAGCAGAGATTGAGATGGTGAGATCGAAATCGTCACCGCCTTTTTACAATGCGTTTGAGTTCATATCGTCGATGTCATCCGGGTTCGATCTGTCCAGCCTCTTCGAGAGTCAGAGGAAATCCGGGTCGATGTTCACGTCAAAATGCTCGGCGTCGGCGATCATGACGAAGCTGGAGGCGGTGGCGAAGAAGCTGAAATTTAAGGTGATTAGCGTGAAGGAGTTCAAGGTAAAGATGCAGGGGACTAGTGAGGGTCGGAAGGGGAAGTTGTCGGTGGCGGCGGAGGTGTTCGAGGTGGCGCCGGAGGTTGCGGTGGTAGAATTCTCCAAGTCCTCCGGCGACACGCTCGAGTACAAAAAGTTTTGCGAGGAGGATGTTAGACCCGCGTTAAACGACATCGTTTGGAGTTGGCAAGGTGAAGATAACAGTCAACACTGCTAAGCTCCGGGTCAGTGGGTCAATTAGGACAAAACCCAAATCTAAAACCCTAATCGAAAGAGTATTAACCTAATTTTGTACGAATATATATGGTAATGTTATTTGTTTGTTTGTTTTTTTGTTTTTGTTTTTGTTTTTCTGTTTCGGGTTTTGTTTTTCCGAAGTAATTTGACTTTGTTGTATAGGGTTTTGAATTTTTAAATGTATATTTGGATTTTCCCAATATATAGTAGTATAGTAATATAATTTGAAAGGTAATGGTGGTTTTATTTATATATACCATTTGCCTTTTTTGGTGGTAACACTTTCTTATCTAACTTGTGTGGTGAGGACTGTTGTCCCACTTAACGTGTCCCAAAGGCTATAGGGGACGTCTCAAATTGTCAACATCAACTGGGTAATCCATTGTTTAAGTTACTCCCAAGGTGGCACTCCATGAACCAAAGAGGCCCCACCTTGGTATTGCCCCTCACACTTCATGAACCAAAGAGGCCCCACCTTGGTATTTAATTTTTGAAAAGTAAATATGCTGGTAGCTGATGGCGACATAGATCTGCATTATTTGTCTGTATTAAATGTTACATATTCAACCGTCGACATAAAACATAAAACGATGAAATCCCCCCTTCATCAAATTCATACTTTAATATTTGTGTATTATATATATTTGCACTCCAACATTCCAAAGTTTTATTCCTACCAGTCGTTGTTTAGTGAGTGATTGAGAGAAGTGTACGTTCCTCGGTTAAAAGACTAGTAACTTTGTATTTTACCTACTCTTTTATTTTATTTTATTTTTTACATATTTTAAATTAGTTGTTCTTTTTAAAAGGGCAAAGTAAATAAATTTTATATTTTTATCATTGTTCTTCATTTTTTAAAAAAAATTTAAACTTTATAATTATATATATTTAAATTAAAAAAAATAAATTAATAATTTATAAAAAAAATAATGTATTAAACACATGTCTCCTTAAAAATTCACATGTTTTTAAAATATTATTAAAGTGGGACGTATATTACTTCTACTATTCAGTTATGAATACATTGTTATATTTGAGCTAATAATAACTGGCCGACATGTGTAGGAGTGTAAATTTTAATTTGTTGGTAAAAGTTATAGTATTTTTATAATGGGGATAATTTCACTGACACCCTCAGTAGTTTGGCTAAATATCAGTTTAAAATATCTTTCGAAAATAACTATCACTCACATTGTAATCGTTTGCTCCGTTTTTCACTCACACCCCAAAAGTTAGTTTACAGGTGTGTCAGATCACTTTTTACATGTAAAAAGACATTCTTACCCTTTGACTTTAATTTGACCATTGATTTTGGTCCATCCTCATTTTTTTTATTTATTTTTTTCCAAAATATCATTGTTAAAAGACAATATGGCCCTTTAAAAATTTGTAAATTTACAAATTATACTATATATACAAACAGACATATATATACCCCTATATACACACACTGAGACATATATATATACTCCATACATACACAGAGACACACACACACACACATATATATATATATATACACACTCCATATATATGTAACAATCGCATAAAAGACGGCGGCCGAGACGTCCGGTTAGGCACAGAGACTATGGCGGCGAAGGGAGATCGGTTGGGCACTGCAGCGATGGCTGAACCAGAGAGTGCGGGAGGGTCGCCGAACGGTGGTGGTTTCGGGGGAAGGAAGACGCCGAACCAGAGGTTGCTGCGCTGTCAACTGTGGGTCGCTGTCATGCGTCACGGGTAACAGTCTTCTTACCGGCGGTTTGCGTGGTGGTCGTGTGTGGATTGTCGGTGTGGGACGGCGGGTCGTGTTCACCATCTTGTGCCGACTATGGTTGTGAGTTGCAATCATAGGTAGGTTGGGTTGCTTGGGGTTGCCGATTGGGTTGTTTGGGGTTGCCGAATTTGGTTGCTTGGGTCAGTCTCTCCTTCATCGTCGTCGGAATCTTCATCAGTCGTAGTCGTTATTCTTCAGTGGATGCTTCAGTTTCCAATGACATTGGTTTGTAAGGTGACTCGACAAAGGCTTTTCTACCAGTTCCTGTGCTCTCAAACACACCCAATTCAAACCCTGATTTCAATTAGTGAAAAAAAAAAAAAAATTAGGTTCAATCAAACACATTGAATCTTTGTTAACAGTAACCCTGAAGCTTCAACTTCCAGAATTAGTTTCAATCAAACACATTGAAGCTTCATCTTCCAGTATTTGTAGAAGCTTCGTTAATAGGAACCCTTGATTTTCTCTAAACGGCGGCCGTTTCGTTTCTCAGATAAAGTATCACTCAAAGGCCTAATTCGAAGTCCAAACTAGTCCAATTCATTCAATTTCGCTTAGGCATTTTTTTTTCATTCGATTCATTCAATTCCAAGCGCCATCCAATCCTAATACCAAATTGGTGTGGACAATTCTGGAAAATTTAAAATGTTAGATTCGTTGATTGTGTATGGGCATGGGAAGGGTTTACAGAGAAACCTCCAAGCCCTTGTCATCTTCATCGCCTCCGGCACCAAAGATGATGAAGTTACGAATTTTATTTGTGCTATAATTGTCGGGGGTATAATTGTCTTTTAACTAATATAATATTTTGAATTAAATGTTATTTAAAAAAAAGGGCAAATTTGTCTTTTCCCATGCTTTTAACGGAGACTATGACAGAAAAGTAAAAGTGGACCTAACTGATAATTATTTTCGAAAGATATTTGAGACTGATATTTGGTCAAATTACTGGAAATATCAGTAAAATTATCCCATAATATAATATTGTGTTTTACTGTATCAGACAATTCATAAATGTCATAAATGAAATTGTGCACGCATTTAAAAGAAATTAATGAGTCCGAATCTTTTGTACCGATATTATACCGCATCACATCAGATCGTCCACAAATATCATACTTGTGCATGCCGAATGTGATCACACGTGTCTGATGCTTGTAGGCCATTTAATAAGGTACAGCACCTGCACCGGATTCCACTCCCCATGAAACTACCGTATTGTCTTTTTTCGCAAACATGTCAAATGATCCAACAACCTTTTTTTGTTTTTTTCAACAATTAAAGCAAACCCGAACACAATACCAGAGACAACGTCCAGTCCAATGAAATATAGTACCTATGTGGTCTGTCAGCACACAACCATTCCCAACTACCAGTCTATCCAAATAATGGACTCCCATAATTAATGATGGTACCCTTACTATGAGGATATATAGAGAGCAGTGTTTTGCCTGTCCCAATTTTTTGTTTAATGGGGACATATCTTGTTCCCTCATTGTTGAATTTTATGGACTAATTTGGGGTTTCAAAGGTCTGGTCCCTACAAAATAAGATTAAGATTATTATCTCATGAAAAAGTCTAAAATGTGCATGCCGACTTTTAAAAAATTATTGAATAATGATGTTACCCTTACGGAGACGATATAGAGAGAGCAATGTTTTGCCTGTCCCAATTTTTCATTCAATTATTTTTAGTGGGACATGTCTTGCTCCGTCATTGTTTAATTTTATGGACTAATTTAGAATTCTAACGGTCTGGTCTCTACATTTTAAGATTAAGATTGCCTTAGAGTTTGTCATTTGTATCACTGCGTTTACCATGTATAACAAAATTGTCGGATCAGAAGTCTGTCATTTATGTCACGACGGTCACCACACATGTAAGAAAATTTTTGAATCTAGATTAGTCATTTGTATCAAGCTATTGTCTCATTAATGACTCAAAAGTCCTCGTTTTCGTCTTGGTGCTATCTTTTTATCGATGCGCGTGTTGATCGGATGATTGACGATATTTTGATTGGTAAACTACTTGCAACTTTTTGCAATAGTAAATGTCATGGATAATTGATTTTACACAAATATCTTAAGAAAAATTAGTGAGTGGTGGTGATCAAAGATATTGCCAGATGTGAGATTAGTGAGAATCTTCTCTGGGATTGCCATTGTATCTTCATATTCGGATATGATATTATTCATTTAATTATTAAATAATATATATTGGACGATAATGTTGCATTGACTTGTGACTGTTGAAAGAGAATTTAGGATTCGCTATTGCGCTGGCAATAAACAAATATATATAATAAATAATTAATTAATTACTGTATGTTTTGGCTTGCTGGTGAAAAAAGGTTTCTCAAAGCATCAATGGCACCATTCCAGTTTATAGTTTGATATTTATTTTTAGGATTAAATGCTCTCACACCTTATTATTTTTAATTTTTTAAAGTAAGAATTTAAAAGTTCAAGTTATCACGAAAACAAATTAAATATGCATATTTCTTTCCAAAGTAGCAAATTATTAATAATAATATTTATTGATGCGTAAATATAGATTGAACATAAATCCGAATTTGAAGAACTACAATAGCATTTATTGAATTTAATCTGATTTTTTTTACTACAACTTTTAGTCATGGAAAAATCAAACCACCTTTTTTGTTTTTTGTTTTTTGTTTTTTGTTTTTTTTCATAAACATGTCAAAATATCAAATTAACCACCTCTTTTGTTGCGAGGGACCCTACTGAATAATTGGCAGAGGGTATAGTGTTTCTCAAAACAAAACAAAACCCAAATATAAAAAACAAACCAATTAAAGAGGTTGCATAATTAATATGATCATTATAGTGGTCATTATAGTGGAATAATAATAATAATAGAGATCAACTCCATCACGGAAAGAACAATTATATAAAAATAAGGTTTGGATGTCACACTAAGGCTCCAATTGGCAAATGTAGATTGATTGCATACACATTTGATGGCTTTTATGGGTTGAAAATTCAATCAAACATATTACATACACTATATGACATATACATATACCAGTCTAATCCCTACATCTTGGAGTGCACACATGATCGATGATGTTGTGTTCCTGATAACTAAGTTATAACTTACTCCTACCTGTTCGATATCTATATCAATATTGGGCAGGAGTTTATTGGATGATTGTTTTTTATTTATATTTGATTGGAGAACTTGCTTTCAGTTTTTTTCTTTTTTCTTTTTGTCGTATGGTGTAAAATGTTTCATAACATCAATTAGTGGTAGTTGGGCCCACCTTGATATTGGCCTGATGTGGATTACTCTTCAAATTACTACTAATACAATAACCTATATAAAGTGTTCAGACTTTAAAGTATGGGTATCCATTTGATGGATTGGTTATGTATCTCAATATTGGGCAGGAGCTTATTGGATGATTCATTTTGATTTAGATTGGAGAACTTGCTTTCAGTTTTTTTCTTTTTCTTTTTCTTTTTCTTTTTGTGGTATGGT